ATAGTGGTTGATATGCTGGTTAAAGAACCAACCAATCAATTTCTCTTTAGCAAAATTACATGAAAAATTATAAATTAAGAAGCTATATTGTAGCATCTGTTTGTAAGCTGACAAATTTAATTTATGATTTACAGTCTGAATAATATCCCCCCCTCCCGCTTTTTGTTATTCTAGCAACATTTTGTCCAGTGTACCCACCCAAGCTTTCTTCTGCCACTTTAAACAACCCTCAGAACAATTTACTCTTATAGATTAAAGCATTCTGTTTGAATTTCTCCAAAGGTTGCCTGGATTGGCAAACACCCTAAAAATGCTGGAATGCACAATGACCAAGATGTCATGATAGTAAAAGATCAAAGAGGAACACATTAGTCCGACTATAAATAATAGCAACTCCTCATCCCAGTAATTATGACGGAAATTTCCTTAGCAATCTTCGGAACACTTTCCAAGGCAGCTGACTCTTGAATGTTTTCAAATGTTCTTCTCGGTTTCTAGTTTTATACTCTTTTATCAGAGAAAAGTGTCTATACAAATACAAAACTGGAAGCGAGTTTCACATGTGAGAAATGGAACTCTCTTGCGACTCTTTTTGCTTTCCAGTCAACTCTGATCTTCACAGATTGACACGCAATGCCATTTGTTGTTTTTTGTCTTCGTTTTTTCCAAATCCTGTATTGTTCTCTCTCCTTAATAATGTTTCCCTACCATATTCTTTAACACTCAGTAACCACTTGTATCTTAGTGGTTTTATTGCCTTGGGTTGAAATGATTAAAAAATAAAATCTTCTAAGGAATTTCAATTGCTATTTGAAGTTAGAGCATAGTAAATCTGTTATTTTTAATTTGTTTGGCTGTTAAATCTGAATTCAGATCAAACTTGTGCATATGCTTTTGAATAAGCATTCATTTTTTTTTTTTTTTTAATCTAATTTTACTATGCTTCTTTGGAAGCATTTATCTTAAGTTATCAGTTTGAATACTTATACAATGCTTATAAGAAATTATTTTTTTTAATATGAGGTGTGGGGGGTTCAGAAAAGATTTTAACCTTACTCACTTCCCCAAATTTGACCAAATAGGTATTTTATCTTGTTCAGATATTTTCACCTGCCCTTGAACATATTTGGGCAGTTCACTGAACATAAGTGATTCTTGTCAAAAAATCAATTACTTATATTGACATACAACTACCTCCTTGAGTTGACACCTCACATGTCACTTATCAAGTCAAAATTCTATAAAAAAAAAAATCTATCCACAATTTACAAGAACCCTTAAAACTTCTGCTCAAAAACACTAACATTCTGTATAAATCACATTACTGGAAACATCTCTCTATAAGAGAGGCCCTGTATATTAAACATCTCTCTGCCACTATCAACCTCACCTTATTTAACAGTAGGAATGGAGTGTTTAAGTTTTTTTTTTTTTTTTAAATAGAAAGACACTCATTCAAATTCCAGCTATGCTCCACCTGTGAAGGCTCAGATTAATTGATCCTACTAGTATTCAAAATGACACAAAAATAAAATATATCTTAAACAGCCAAAACATGAAGGACCCTATAATACCTAAAACAACCCCCTCCTTGTTATTGGCTACAGGAGACAAAAGCTCTTGGGACAATGGACATTATGAAAATTTTTGTACTTCTTTACTCTCACAAAGTGGATAAATGTAAGAACAGTGGAAAAAGTAAAAAAAATTTCTTGTCTGACATATTTAACAAATGATGTTTAAAAGAAAGGTTGCTGCCCATATATATATATCTCCCCTATTAGGATTATACACCAGCTGTATGGTAGGCCTATTTATTCATGAGTATCTAGTTTTAGTGTTTCCATGGTGATCAAATAAAATAGCTAAAGAAAAAAAATGCAAAATATAATTATAACGGTATTTACTGGCATCAACAGTATGTACACTTGGCTTGTTGCCAGTGTTAAAGTCTGAGTCATAATCAAAATGAAATTCATCCATTTTTTTTTTTTATTCCCCCCCCTCACTGCTGTTTCACATTTATTAGTCTAGAACTGCCTACAAAGCCTCTTGAGCATTAAGTCTGTGCTTGGTTGTCATGTAACGGAAATTTGATCTATCAATGAGAAATCAAAATCAACTCTTAATTTTGATGGATGTCACAGTTACAAGGAAGCCTGTGTTGCTCAGGTAAATTCAATAGCCTATTTCTCTCTGGTGAATTATTATTATTATTATTATTGGATAAAAGTGCGTGTTTGTCCAGCCAAGTAAGAATGAAAGCTTGAAATTTATGCCACTTGTAATATAATGTAATATAATTTGAGAGAGGTTTGTTTTTATGCATATATGCATGATACCAATGAGTGAGGAGGTGGCAGCTCTTATCAGCGTAAGATGAGGCAATATATATATGTATATATATGTATGTACATATGTATGGATGCATGCATGCATAAAAAAATAAGAGACCACCTTAAGGTTCCATGAGCAATGTAACAATGGAGTAGATATTAATTAAGAGGCAACCTTGAGGTTCCATGACATCAGGTTCTCTTAATTATTTAATTAATATTTGCACTGTTGTTACATTGAGCTCTCTGGATTACATCCTCTTTGGAATTATCCACATGGATTACCAAATCCTTTATTACCTTTTATTATATATATATATATATATATATATATATATATATATATAATATACACACCCACACAGTGGGCTGCAAAAATACTGTTAAAAAAGAAGCTCATAACCCATACCTAAGAAGTTCATTATATGAGCATACAATTTTAGCACAAAATATGCATTAATCTTTTAAATAATACCCAGAATACCTTATTCAAGATGGTTCCTTTTAGCATTCACCACACATCAGTCTTTTGGGTAAGTTGCTGATGGCAGCATAAAAATTTGCCATGGATATTTTGTCCCATACTCTCTTCAGTTTTGCTTTCAGACCTTTTATATTGTCTTGTGGAGTAGAACTGGCCACTTTCTCAAGAACTGCCCACAAACAGCATTGATATCTGGTGATGAGGAAGTCCTTCATGATGAAGCCAGAAAAGTTGTCTCTGCACCACTGCAGTGTTACATGAGAAGTATGGTTCATCGCTCCATCTTGTTGTCCAGTGCTCATCACTTTAAATGGCATCACATCGTGGCCTGAATGCACCTTCCAAAATACAGTATTTACATTAGTCGGACTATTGTCCTCATCTTTGTCGCCATATTTGTCACATTTCGGCCGTTGTACGCTCCGGCCTTCTTTGGGTGGTTGGAATTTTGAACTGAACCCTTTATTTCGATCACTGGGGTAGACTGTTCTAGTTCCACGTGCCATGTTTGATGGATGTCAGTTATCAGTTATCTCCTAATTTTCCCTCTGAAAGTTCTCTGCTGCCTTAACCAGGTATTGAACTCACCTTCTTTGGGTCTGTCACTGGATTTAACCAATGCCTTTATCCACTGTGCCATGTGTCCTTGAGACAGACCTTCCAAAATATCCTCTAGGTATACTTCCTTGTTGATCTTTATCATTTTTTTTCCTCTTTCTGAAATGGCTGCCCAAACCATAACTGATGTTGGTTTCTGAGGCATTTTACTGAAGTGTCAGGAACTGATTGATGATTTGTTTAAAGAACACAATCATTTTGATGAGTAAAAGTGAACAGTTTCACATCAGTAAAGATGGCTTTTCAGCATACCATCACAAATCTGTTTCAGCAAGTGTTTACTTTGAAGCCTCTTTTCATTGTGGTTGTCTTGTAGAGCGACAACCCAAGATCATTTCAACATAACCTTTGCATAGTTCTCTCTAATGTTTTAACCTCATTAGACAACATACTCATTGACCTTAGATTATACCTGATTTTTTTTCACGGTCATGTTTAACGAGTTTGGGTGTTCTGGAGGTGCATTGATGTCCTGGTTTCTGTTCCTTCATCAAAGATAAAGCAAGTACCATTGTATTGTTTGATTATCCTTTTGATTAATATTGTATTCCAAGTTGTTTTCCAAAAATCAATAAATTTTTTAAGACTTCAAGTGGAGTCTGTTCATTTTCATGTTGCTCAGCTATATATTTCTATAGACAATGTTGCCAGTAAATACTAAAACACTCTGAAAACACTTTAGGCAAATATCAAACCATGACTAAAATTTTTGAAGTTGAATTCATTTGAAATTTTGTTACAGCATTTATACTAGCCTAAAAATAATATATATATATATATATATATATATATATATATATATATATATTCAATATGTAGCATGTCGATTAATTTTTGTTGTGATCCTCTCAAGTTCACAGATTAACTTTTTGGTATACTTAGAAAATTGAGTAAGAAAAATACCAAAATTTTCTTTCAAATATTTTTATTTTCCCAAGTACTTTTAATCTCATCTGAGACCATCTTCAGGGGGTTAAATATCTGTGAGTGTGTGTTTCTGTGCATGTGAACCATTTCAACTTTTTTTTTTTTTGTTTTTTTTGTTTTTTACTGCTTGATTGAAAGTACTTTGGGAAAATAAAAACTATTTTCAAGAAATTAATCTGTAAAGTTGAAAGGATCACAATGGAAACTAATCAGGATACATCAAAATTATTTAACCAAACCTGTTTGGATGAAAATATGCTGCTTAAAAACACACACACATATATAATATATACATACATATATATATATATATATATATATATATATAATGAGAGCAATTAAGTTAGCAAGATGTGATGTGTAACATGCCTGAAAGTATGTTGTGTGTGTACTGAGGATCGAACTCCCTTGTCAGTGATAAATTTTTTTTTGTGCATGAGCAAGAGATTTCTTTTTTAAGAGATAGCCTGTAGAGAAATTGTTTAAATGTCTACATATGAGCATTTGTACAAGTGAAGACCTTGAAAATGGCTAATAGATTTAGTCAGTGTCCAGAAGGAATAATCATTTAGACAATTTCACAAAAGACAAATAAGAAAAAAATAAAATGTCATTTTCAGTGACACATGTATTAG